AGCGCTTCACAGCCTCGCTGAACACTGCAACTATGGCACTCTAAAAGAGGAAATGATCCGGGATAGAATAGTCGTGGGTCTACGTGATGAAAAGCTCGCAGAAAAACTGCAGATGGACTCGAAGCTGACTTTAGTTAAGGCAGTTGACATGACACACCAAAGTGAATCGGTCAAAAGCCAGCAAACCGTCATTCGCAACCCAAGCAGCAGAGACCCCTACAGGGGAGATGAGGAGAAACCATCGTCAACTAGCATCGTGACCCGAGAGTCCACACAGTCCCAGCAGCAGAGACCAGGACACTCGGAAACCCACCCGCAAAGTCGCTACTCCAGCAGAATTGTCCGCCCGCGATACTACCGCAACTTATCGTACGCGTTCCGGTAGACATGTAAACCCGCCAAGTAAATTAGATTTGTAATTACGAGGCCTACATAGTGATCAGAATTTTTGAGACTTTTTGACTGACCGGTCGCGCCGTTTAAAGGGACACTATCACCTAATGCAAATGGGCTTTGTTTAGTTTGATACGTGATTCAGATTTTAGTCTTAGATTCAAGTGTCATCATTCATGGACCACTCGGCTCGAAGGGAGATGTAATATTAATAACAGCTAGCGCCATCTAAGCATAGCTCTTGGAACTATTAGCCTCGTTCTGATATTAGAACTGAATTCCATCATGGCTGTCTGCTGAGTATTTCAATAATAAATCTGATCTTATTTGACTTATGCTTTACTCATAGTCTTTCCTGTACAACAACAGTGACAACCAGTCCGACGATTCCGCCGTTGCCCGCGAGAACGACCCCGACGACACCGCGTCTCACGATGACGACCACAGCGACGGCGTCCGAACTCGTGACGAGACTCGCTTGGCGGGTCCGCCCGACACGTCCGCGCGTCGTTACCCGAAGAGGAGCAGATTGCACATGGACGCCGTCACGTGCATGAACGACGCGGCGGCGGGAGAGGGCGCGTCCGCGCTCGCCGCGCCGCACACGCGCCGCACCTCCTCCCGGGACCCGCATCGTGGCCTGTACCCGCGAGCGTCGACACGACATGGCGGCTCGGACG